AATTGCTTGATCGCATTGAAGTGTCGTTGTAAGATTGTGTCAACTAAAAAAATATAAGAAACGCCAGCAGCAGAAGAGAGCGTGCGGAGGATTCGTTTCAAAATTAAAAGATCCTATTTTAACAAAGCTGGAAAAACGACAGGAGAACAGTATAGGATAAGTGGAAGAATGCAGGCGTCAATGAATCGCCAGACTAAGGGTTGAGGTATGTGGTAGGAACGTAAACGACGAATGTAGTAAAGAAGTTTACGAACTTTAATAAATAAGGACTGAATATGGAGGGAAAAAGAAAGATTTGAGGACAAAGTAACGCCGAGGTACCTGAAAGAGGATACTTCGTTAGGAAGAATGTCAGAAAAATCAGGGTTAGGGGAGGGTCGCAGTCGAAAAATACACTGAACGGATTTTCGGTTGTTAATTAGGAGACCATTTTCCTCCGACCACGCTAGGACATGGCTTAGGCCATCCTTTAGAGACCGGAGGTGTGTCTGACTTTTGAGAGGGTGTCCAACAACCACATCGTCAGCTTACTTGACCAGAAGACAGTCATTAGGGGACCTGAGATCATCAGTTTGTAGGGAGAAAGGGTGAGGGTATAGAATGGAACCTTGAAGAACACCGCAGTCGTTGGGAAGGGTCGAAGATTTCCGCTTGCCAGATTGGACAAATTGGGTGCGGAAGGTAAAATAATCGCTCAGCCAAGAGACAACCCAGCCTGGAGAGCCACATACGGAGGTTTGGGAAAGGAGAAGAGGGCACGGGACGGTATTAAAGGTGGAGGAGTAATCAAGAAAAGCGCACGCATAATCGCGGCAACCCTTGTCTAAAGCTTTTAGAGCAGAGTGGACCACAAGAGCGACAGCATCTAAAGTACTCCGTTTAGCTTTGCATGCAAATTGTAAGGGGTCGGAAAAACTGGAAGAAAAAGGCTCTAGGGCAACTCTTTCAGCAAGCTTTAGTATTGCAGAGGAGCAGGCAATTGGGCGAAAAGATTTAGGACCAAAGTTAGCAGGCTTTTTAGGGATGGGAGTGATTTCTACTGTACGCCAGGCGTCGGGAATCTTGGACTCCATGAAAGACATATTGATTAGGTGCGTTAAAATAGGGGCTATCTGAGAACTGCAAGATTTAAGAAGAAAAGGCGAGACACCATCCAGTCCGGCAGCTGTTGATCCACGGACCTTTTTAAGGTGTTTCTCTACTGTTGCCAAAGACACGGGTTGGAATGTACTCGGTGATAGGGAAATGTCCTTTAAGGGAAGATGGGAGTCATTGTGACTTAATATAAAATTTTTATTTAGGGAGTCTAAATCTGCATCCACATGCACCAGCGTGTTGCGATGACCAGTGAGACGCTTAAGATTTTTCCAAATCTCAGCTGAGGAAGGGGGGGAAAGAGGGGGAGTAAGAAGAGGAAAAAAGTTGGTTGACAAACAGGCTATTTAGCCTGTCAATCTCTGTTTTTATTAAGACGGTAACGTCCTTAAGGTTATCACGTAAGCCTAGCTAGTAAAGGAGTTCTGTTTTACGTCTTAACGATTTCAGATAGGGGGAAGAAATTCTATCCGGTCGTACCATAACAGTATCAAAAGGGCAGCAAATATCGAAAATTTCCCTTAAAAACGCTGTCAGGTTGGAAGAACAGGATTCAACATTAGAATGTTCAAGGAAAGTGGGGATAGTAAGAGAAATGCAAGTCTGAAGCATGAGAATGTTTTAGGCGGACGTGTTGCGAACCTTAACCTTTCTCTCAGGCTTGGCAAGCAGTGCACGTTTTGAAGAGGAATAGATTTTTGGAAGGCACAATAAAGTGGAATGGTCAGAACCTGACAATGGAGCCCTGTTTTTTACGCAAAAAAGCTTGCTGTGCTTAGTCAGAATATGATCAAGAGGAGCATCTACGCGAGTATTAAAGGAGACAAGATCATCGAAGCCTAAAAGTGTAAGAGGACGTAAATTCGCGCGATTAAAATCACCGCATAAGTGAGTAAGATAGTCGCAGGATAATATAGCAAGTTTTTGTGAAAGGAAGTCGAAAAAACGGGTTAATGTACAATTAGTAAAAATCCACACGTGAATGGAGAGCTACAAAAATGGCGGCTCAAATTCAAAGGCCCGCCTAGTTCTATATTTGCCCATCCATCCATTCGCCAACCAACCTCTCGTCCCAGTACCCTTTCCCTCCTATCCCCTCCCTACCCTCCTTAACCGAGGAACAACTCTTTTCATCTACCATAGTTAGGGCCGAGTTACTCCGTCTAAAACCTGCGAAATCGCCTGGCCCAGATAGAATTTCCGCCCTAGCACTTCGTGAACTTGCTAATGAACTGTGCAAAACCTTATCCGCCATATTTAAAAAGTCATTTGAAGACGGTGAGCTACCGGAAGAATGGAAGTGCGCACTCATTACTCCGATCCATAAAGGAGGCTCAAGACTTGACTGCGGAAATTATCGTCCTGCAGTCTTACTTGCATCGCGTGTAAAATAATGGAACGCATTATCAAAAGACACTTGATGAAATACCTGGAACAGAACAAAATATTGTGTGATGCCCAACACGGCTTTCGCCCAGGGGGCTCCTGCTTAACGAGTGTTCTTTTCTCGCAAGAGAAATGGACACGAGCTACCGATAAGGGTTTTCCAGTAGATGTCATATTTTTTGACTTCAAGAAGGCCTTTGACAGTGTCCCACACAGGCTTCTTTTACAGAAGGTCTGGGATGTAGGAATTCAAGGAAGAATATTTAAGTGGATCAGGAGTTTTCTGTCCTCCAGACTACAAAGAGTCGTCGTTAGTAATTCTACCTAGGAATGGGTAAAGGTGGAAAGTGGTGTCCCACAGGGTTCTGTCTTAGGCCCAGTACTCCTTCTGATTTATGTTAATGACTGCATCAGCGAAGTGAATTGCCAGGCTCTCATGTTCGCGGATGACATAAAAATATGGAGTGAAGTCAAGTGTGATGATGACGCAGAGAAGTTGCAGTCGAACATCAACAAACTGTGTGCTTGGTCGAACAGATGGCTTTTGAAGTTCAACGTGTCCAAATGCGTGGTTTTGCACCTGAACACCGGCCGCAATGCCTCTCCCAAACACCAGTACTATATTGACGGGACGAGGTTAGAAACTGTGGAATGACACAGAGAGCTGGGTGTATGGACGACCACAAATCTATCGCCATCAGAACACTTCAGAAAGATGGTACAGAATGCAACTAGTACTCTACACTGGATCAGACGTGCATTTAAAATATTTCCTCCCGAACTCTTCGAAAGACTCTTTGGTGCCTTCGTAGACCTCATCTAAAGTATGGAATGCCAGCAGCTTCACCATGGATGAGGAAGGATATCAACTTACTCGAACATGTGCAACGCAGAGCGACATAGGTGGTCGACGGTCTGAAGCATTTGTCTTATCAGGAGAGGCTGAATTTGCTTGGCCTATTCCCTCTCACTTATAGACAAATAAACTGCAGTCTACTCTGGACGTTCCGGTTTGTTTGCGACCAGGGTTGCTCATTAAGAGCAGAGGACTTCTTTGAGCTCGCCCGTACAAACCAACTACGCGGCCATGGATACAAAGTCGGGAATGAGCGCACGCGTTTAGACCGACGAAAATTTTCAATCAGCCAGCGGGTTGTCAGACCGTGGAACTCGCTTCCAAGCGAGATGGTGACGGCTGACACAGTTTGTGTGTTTAAAAGAAAACTTGCTCGTCTAGTTTTCGACAGAAGTCGGCTTGTGCAGCATGACTTTGCACAGCCAGCTTTGTAAAATCTGTCATATACAATCTTTCGCAGTAATTTACAGTGAGCCTATGCTTTACTTTATGATTACGATTGAATTGTGACCCAGTCACATTTTAAATGCCTGCAATTTTATTTTATTTCGGAGTATGAATCTGCGAAAGCACTGTACATAAATTGGGTCATCAAGGGCTCTGCCTGTAACCCTTAAATATATACATATACATATATACATATACATAATCCAGATCGCCGCTTTACTACTTCACCCCGCCATCAGAACTAATCACGTCTTTGTCCCAAATCTTTCACTGGATTCTTTGAATGACCATTTCTGTGCTCGTAAGCCTACAGTATCCACGATTCTGCTGCATATGGGACCACACTGGTAATAGAGGGGGTTTACAAGTCGCAGTTAAAAATGCGGGTACAATTAGAGCTGTGAATGTCAGTCGGCGATATCAGAAAAAGTCCAGTTAGGAAGTAAGTCAATTCGTTTGAGGTTATGCTTGCCACCGTTCCATAGGTAGTTATTTCAGTTAAGCGCTCATATTTCCGAAAAGCAGTCTAGATATATCCGACATCCTCTTGTCCGTTTGTGGTTTTTATAGTTTAAGACAAAGAATCGCACGTTAGTAGCTCTATCAGCTAACCATAAGCAGCATATTGCAAGTTACTTATGATTGAGGCTAGATCTGTTTGCTTACTGATATAATGTGAGTATACGAAAATATATTAAGGAGTGCAAAATATCTTCCAAAGCACACCGATCTGGCCAAAATTAGGAGGATGTACTGGAAATATAAAATAGAAAGCCATAAACGAAGTCTTCTGGGTATTTGTGTATGCGTGCTTACCAAAATTATTCTCCCTAGAACAGTCGTTTCGCTCAAATATCCCAGAAGGATGCATTAAAATAAGAAACTAAATAAGATTCGAAGAAGCCCCGTAGCAAAGGCATAAGAGAAAAAGTCAGCAACTATGGGACAGCCAACAGCATGGGGTGTAATAAGACAGCATGCAGCTCGAAATACTACAAATATAAGTTTGTCCATTCTATGTCATAAAAATTAGAAGAATAATCCCTCATGTACACAAAAACGCACGAAGGCGATTGTGGTGAAGACGGAAAGGAAGCAGCATCGTGATGGCCGACAATATTTTTACAATTGTCATATAAACGCGGAAAATGCCCACTTCGACATCTCGTGTGCAAAACTTTAATTTAGGAGAGAAGTGGTATTTTAACAGACGTTGATGGCATTTAAACATCCCACCCTGATTAACATAAGGGACCTGGATATGTGCCTCTGCCACTGTAAGTTTGAAAAACCAAGCTGTTTTGTCAAGTCCTCCATATTTTACTCATTCAATGATAACCACTTGTAAAGGGTTTCAATTTTGTCTATGCTTTTCTCAATACTCTGACGGAAACTATATGCGGTTAATTATTATCTCATTAGTCCTTGAAGTGTCATTTGCAACGGCGAATGGATCGTTCGTTTTAAACACCTCGCACATTATGTACACATCTTTGTAAAACATTTTTCAGACTTCTAAAATATACCTAAGGCCGCCTTATTTCCTGCCGATTCAAAAATCAACAAAGAGTGTTTGTTTGCGTTATTTATTCTGTGCGTACTTACCGAGTTTGAGTCTTTCGCTCTCTATCCACGTGTGCTGCACAAGGCCGACTTTATTTGGCGTGCATTCATATGTCTTTCAGTCTTTGTTTTGTCGGCTGTGTTGTGATTGAGGAATATCAGTCAATTTCACGCCACAGACCGCATTCCTTTACACCGAGTCTCGATTTCGGTTAGGTACTGAAGTGGTCAGCTTCGGTTTTTATGACCTCAATCATGCTTTTTGATGTGCGTTAATAACTTTGCAAAGGTAATTAACTAAGCTTTTAGCCGCATACAACTGCCTCCCTATCTTCGGGCACCTTCGTCCTTTCTGTTTAAAATTATCAATTAGTAAGTTGATAGTACGGAAGCTCAGAGGCGCACTATTCGAGCTCTTTGGCCTTCTGGTACGTCGGCGCTTCGTGCGGTCAGGCATTGGTTCGGGGTCGTATGTTAGTGTAAGGGGGTCTGGCGGTGAAATATCCGCCACCAGCGAATACTGTCAATCGCACCTTATGGCACTAATCCCGTTTCGTATTATGTACTTTCATGTCTCTGAAGACTTAGATTAATTTTAGTCTTCGTTTGCGGTGAACTGACAGTCGAATTTTTTCGTCAGTTCACCATGCATGTATCCAATAAGTGATCAGTTATTTGGCACATGCACTTTAATTAAGGTTCCAGGCGTAATTTAAGTTTTTCTCTGCGCTGAATTTTGACAAGTACAAATAATTATAACAAGTCAACGTATCTGCGTAAAAAGCCTTAAAAAGCCCCCACTCAAGTCTTTTGCCTATATTTGTGTGTTTCGTCAGTTAGTACTGTTATTATGAACTGACACCAAAAATGGTATATACTCCTGTTGACCTGACAATACAGACTGAATAAAAGTCCGATATTCTGGTTGAGCAAAGTACGAGATGTCTGGGCTTCATTAAATTGGAAGTGGTTGAAGCTACGTAAGTGAAATTTACAAATTAGAAGTTTGCCGCATTGTATCTGCAGGGGTTTTGCACTTTCGATCGTAGCCCCGGTCCACATTGTGCCGCCAGTTAGTGTGATGAAGGGAGAGCTGTGATATTTAACCGTAGTTAAAAGACACCTTGCGGTTTTTGCTCCCACCTCGAGGAACTGCTCTCCTTCCATTATCCTTTCATTCCTCTGTTTCAAAGGCTGAGCTATCTTCTCATCTGGCGGTAGTCTCGAGGGAGGCCTGAACATGTTCTTGTGCTTTTGCGCTTGTGTTGGATCTAAGTTCCAGATAAACTTGCCTTAACACCTCCAGGCGAAATTCATCGGGTTGTCTGTGCACGTATGCCCGAGGCTCTCAGTCGACACTATCATAAGTAGCTTTGATTTTCAGGTAGTGTGTAAAATTCATGGTGAGCACTGGTAACGTTGGTTTGAGAAAAAATTATAGACAGATGTGCATTGGCCCAACACAATATTTCTTTTCCATTTATTGTCTCCCTTCCGAGCATCTGCTCTCATTAGTTCAAATTCATGACAGCGATCTTCAATTTTGTGCAGCGTAGCATCTTTAAGTAATTCTATCCGCTTTTCCCTTTCAAGACTCCCTAGCCGACAGAATGGGGGAAAACTCCTTTAACACGGATTGTTTGACCCTGACGAGGTACATTATTGCCGAGCAGGCAAAATATCCAGAAGCCACTGGTGAACTTACTCAGCTCATGAACGGCATCCAAACCGCCGTAAAAGCCATTTCAAGTGCAGTTCGTAGGGCCGGAATTGCTCAACTGTAAGCATGTCATACCTTCCTCCTGTTGCCTTATGCAACTCCCCTTGAATTATGTAATCTGTTCATTTTCGTAATTTTAGATATGGCATGGCAGGACGGTCCAATGTTCAGGGCGAAGAGGTTAAGAAGTTGGATGTCCTTTCGAATGAGCTTTTTATCAATATGCTGAAGTCTTCCTACAGTACCTGCCTCCTGATTTCAGAAGAGAATGAGGAAATCGTTCAGGTGGAACCCGATAAACAGGCAAGTTACACTTTGAAAGACTGAAATACCTTTATGTCGTATACTGCGGGTTGGGCACTGACACTGCTCGGTATATTTGCATATGTCACTGTAATTTTAGGGCAAATACATTGTTACTTTCGACCCGCTCGATGGCTCCTCAAACATTGACTGCTTGGGCTCCATCGGTTCCATCTTCGCTATCTACAAGGCCTCTGGAGTTGATCGCAAACAGAAGGTTGCGCTAAGCGAGGCACTTCAGTGTGGGCGAAACGTCGTTGCCACTGGTTATGCTCTCTATGGCAGCTCCACCATGATTGTCCTTTCTGTTGGTTCTGGAGTCAACGGCTTCACTCTTGATCCGGTCAGTCAATGGCTTTTTCACATTTATGTTTAAGTTCGATCTTCACCCGTTACTTTGTGCACGGTCCTAGATTGAACTGGGATATCGAAATAAAGGTTAAGTCCGGTGAAATGAAGGTGCAATAATGTTTCGGGAATTGTTAGTTAAAATAGTTGCCGTGCGTGGTTTGCACATCAATCTTAATTCAGTTTTTTTTAATCCTTTGTGGCTTATCAGACGGCTAGACTTATCTGCACGAGGTGCACCTTAGTCTTGTAGACATATGTTTTGTGGCTGTCCCTAGGTTAGACGAGAGGATATTTTCAAGTGGACCTGGACCTACCCGCTTATTTTAATTCTCTTGAAGTAAAATTATCTCCTTTGCGTTAGTTTTTGGAGCCATTACAATATTATTCTAACTACTTCACGTCCAGGGCCTGTCTCAAGAAGTTAATGAATAGTGCGTTTGCTAACTAATTTGCCCATGTGGGCATCTTGGTCATATCACCCAAATACTTCTCTTGTGCTGTAATGAGGCAGTTTCCTGAGGCCAGCCAGCAGTTTGGCTCTTTAATCGATCTGCTAGAAGAAGCGTTACTACTATTTCTCATTCAAGTAAGCGTTTGACCTCACCCGATCGCCGTCTGATTTAACCCCTCTGTAGCATCAGCCAAATATGCTCAGTGAATGGCGGAATTCTCTATGAAAAGTTGCAGTGATAACCAGGCCTAAAGATTAGCAGCTCCTCCACCTGTTCATGCCGACCCCTTTGAATGGATGAAGCTCTCCTAGACATGCTAGCTTATCGACTCAACTTTTGGACATTTTCAAGGTATTTATGGTCTGTGCTCGTCGATTGAAAGCCCGCCCGGTTCAGTAAGTTGGCGTTGCGCATCTGGTTGCGTCGTTGTGTTCGCTGCTCTGCTTATAGCAGACCTCTGACATTCAATTTTCAATCATAGGCTCTCGGTGAATTCATTCTCACTCAGCCTCAAATCAAGATCCCCTCTCGTGGCAAGATTTTTTCAATCAACGAGGGCTACGCTCAGCTCTGGGACCAAGGTCTGACAAACTACATTCACGAAAAGAAATTCCCGAAGGTATGTTTCACAAACACTTCTATTTCTTGTCGTCTTTGCTCGGCTATCTCTCGCCACTTTTTGGTAGCTGACCTTAGCTGGTTGTCCTGGAGTAACAATAAACAGTTGAGGAAAAATAGCTCCCCGAAGTCAAATTAGCCTGAGAACGAAGTAGGACCGACCTATTCCTTATTCGGGTTTGCTCACCCTCCTATTTTAAAGACGTAGACGTTTTTCTGCTCGGTCATTTCATCCATGGTTGGGTTCATGTGATGAATACGTTAAACTCTGTCGGGGCCTAACCGCTCCCAAACTCGTTGCTTTCTCTTCCGTTTTGCTACTTTGTTGACCTTTTACTGTTATTAATTTGCTCAATCTTTGTCTATTCACTTTCCCTGTGCAGAGTGGAAAACCATATCAGGCACGCTACATTGGCTCTATGGTGGCTGACATTCATCGGACCCTGGTCTACGGTGGCATCTTTATATACCCCGCCATGAAGGGTGTCCCGTCTGGAAAGGTATGCTTCAACCCGCCTCCCCCCCCCCTTACGCTCTCCTCTATCTGTTTGTCCTATCCCCTCCATTAGGCTTGGTAAGTTGTTTGAACGCCTGAAATAAGCTGGTTCACAAGTCGGGTCCTAAAACACACAGAGTACATAGCCTTTCCTTAAAGCCCAACCCGACTGCAGTGAGCTCGTCAGCTCATATTCTACTTGAATCTTTCCAAATCTGTCTGAAGTTTCCGGTTTAACCATATTGGACGGTTGCCTGTTCCGCTTCGTTTCACCAACGACCCGGGCATTCACCGGTATTCTTTACCTTATCCACGCAGACTCGTCCACGATATCACTGAGACTTGTCCTCGCATGCAGGGGGCGTCCCCCTTCTAGTCTTGTTCGTATCCTACCGTTTCGGTGATGCAGACTGAGTGTTCGAAAAGTATTAGGATATGATGGCTAGAACCCATTTGTGGGTGATCTTGTAGGTGCTCTATGCCGTAATCCTCTCGAGAAAAGACACTGTCTAGACAGTTTGAACGTTTAGAGATATATGCAGAGCGAAACTATTGACAAAGGGAGGTTGAAGTGGCCATTTGTGGCGTATTAGCCGTCGTCAGCCAGCCGTACACAACCCCAGGTTTGGGGGCATATGCGGCTCTAACCTGGTCTGGTGGTTGTGACCAGTGAGCTTACCTCTATCACAGTTCGAAAGTTGTCCTTCCGTAACAGCCATCCCCGAGTGTCATAGCAGAGTAGACTCTCCGCTAGCAAGTGATGACAGAACGTGACTGGTAGACCGAACACAGTCCATGCCTATCAGTCGAGCTGCATAGAGCGGATAGCTGCCAGCTGCCAGTCTCGTGTGCAAAGAACTCCCGACTGAAGAAGTGTGTATCCTTTATATTAACTATTACAGGCGTAGCAGGTCACTCGGGTGGCGAGTAAATTGAACCATTTACGGCAGTGGTTTTTTTTATGGGAGTTTACAATTGCCGTGAGCGGGTTGGTTCTTATTGTGTACTTACAGTATGCTTTACAACAATAGGAGGAGCATCGATCGACTCCCTAAATATGCTTTCCATTAGAAGGAACTATTTACAGTAGATCTTCCATTTCACAAAGTTTTAACCGACATTCCGAACTATGTTTTCGATTCAAAAGTAAGATACATAAGTACGGTTGTAATATAGATTGTGTCGCAGCATAATTCTAAGACACTTAAAGCTCGCCGGGATGCGGACTTTGAATAAGCTGCTTTTTCAGCCGCCTGAAAGAGCCACACTCTGTAAAAAAAACGTCCGCCTTAGTAGTATGAATTTTTCACATTGATTTTCGACCTCCGTATATCCCCAATTATATGCTGTAGAAAATACGCCCACAAACTTTTTTCTTGTGCCCACTTGGTAGTTAGATCAAATCTTCTTTTACTTGGGGGGGGGGGGGAGTATGTTTTAGTCTTCAAAAGCGTTTTCGATTCCTGAATATTTTTTGTCCCATCCGTCGTTGCACTTGCATTCAGGATTTCCAAACTAAGTGCCCTATACATTCGGTCAAAACAATATCACACATTTCTCTACCATGCAATGAATGTGGGCCAGGTCGTATGCTTTGTATGAGGCATTCGTAAAAGTGCTGATGCGGCGCTGTGTAAATGGACTTTTCGCTATCTTAAAAAGTCCCATAAGTAGAAACTTTCCAAAAACCAGAAGATGCCCTCTCTTCAGGCATAAGATTTGCAGAAGACGCAGTTTGCTACCAAAGGAGTACAAGGGAGGATATTATCGTGAATGCTTTCTAGTAAATATAGTTGAATTCATAGAAGGATGTAAAATCAATTAAAAAAAGAAGTCATGCCACAAAAATAGCCACTTTTTACAGAGCGTGGTTTTTGCAGGCGACCGAAAAGAAGCTCATTCAATGGCCGTGACTGAAAGATCTTAAGGCCGAACTGCACGATAACCATTACAGCCATATTTACGTAATCTTTTCGAATCGAAAACATATTTCAGAATCTCAGTCAACATTTCATAGGATTGCCCATTTACTGTAAGTCGTGTGTATCCCGTAAGTGGCCGATCTCATGAAATGCTGGCCGAAGGGCCAAAATGTGTTTCCGATTAGGAAGGATTACTCAGGTGGGGTTCTAATACGTGTTATCTTGCGGCATAGTTCTCTGATATTTCGGACTCGGCAGGATATCAGCTTTTGAATGCACCTCTTTCCCATTTCCTGTAGAAACCGTACTCGGCAAAAAATGGCTACTTAAGTAGCATGCATTTTTCACATAGATTTTCGATGGTCTTGCAAATTCGAATATGTTTTATGAAAAACATGAACTAAAATGTGCTTTTTCCACTTGCACGATAGAGAATTATGCCGTCTTCCTATTTTGTACTCAAAGAAGGAATATAAATAGCTTTTAATAAAGTTTTCTTATTCCCGAATTATTTGGAGCCTGATTAGCCATTGCATTAGTGCTTAGTGATGTTAATCTGCAAGGAGCATGCGTTCCGCGTAGGGAAAGTCATATGTTCTTCTATGACTTTAAAAAATACCATATAGAGTCCATAGCATTTTGCAATGGATGGGGATTATGTTGTACATTTCATGACGGGAAGTGGTAAACAGAGAGTTACGATGCCGTACGAATGGACATTGCACGGTCTTAAAAAAATCTCATAATTAAACACTTTTGTAAAACCTAATTATAATTTATCCTTGAGTATAAAATATAAATGTTACATGATTCTCTATCGAATGAGTGAAAAAAGCGTGTTTTTGTTCATGTTTTTTATAAAATATATTTGAGTCTATAAGACCATCGAAAATCAATAGAAAAAATGCATGCTACTTAAGTAGTCATTTTTGCCGAGTACAGTTTCTACTGGAAATGGAAGAGGTGCATTCAAAGGCTGACATCCTGCTGAGTCCGAAATGTTATAGGATTGTGCCACAAGAAAATTAGTATTAGAAGCCGACTTAAGTAATCCTTCCTTTCCACTAGGAAAAATCACCTTATTGGAGATGCAATGCTTATAGGCCCGAGATTATTAAGATTTTATTCATTGCTGGTCCTGAATGAGGGACTTTCTAGTCAGTTGTAAGTATCCCCTTTCGGGACACTTAGTATGCATCTTTACCCTTAGTTTTTGTTTATCTAACGTCAGTGGTAAGTGCCCCTTCATCACAGTCAACCGGTAGAAGGCCGCGTCTTCTTATGAGTTAATGCCGTTGAACACCTCATAGTTTCGTATTACGAAAGGCAACGACTAGGGAGACTGGAATGCCTATTTATTGACAAGTTATTCATTGCCAGCCAAGAATAACCGAATTCCAGATCGACAAAACCTGAGCTTGGAGCTGAGTTCTGTTTGATAATTGACTCAGCCAGGGGTAATATCCAAATTCACGCGATGGTTTCGCTCACCTATCTAGCCTGACTTGCGACATAGCTTGACTTTTTTGCACGTCTTCCAAGTTTTCAGGGCAAAAGTAGTTTATACGTACTAGCCCCACTGAATATGGGGAAGTGGTAGATGGGCGCCTACCGATCGTTCTTACGGAAGTCACTCGTACCATTGTGCCTTGGGACTCTTTCTTGATCCCTGCCAGCAGCCGCACAGCGGCGCATGATACATAGGCAGAATAACATTATCGATAAAAACAAGGGAGACTGGAATGGCCATTTCTGGCTTATTAGCTGTCATCAGCCAGTCGTACCCAACCCCGAAGTTTCGCAACCTCCGAGGGTCGAATCCGCGTTCTGCTGGTTAGAAGTTCAAAGCCTGAATCAGTGAGCCAGGGGGTTGTTTTCCAGTGGATTGCGATCGCGTATATTAACTGTGTGCTGCCCGATCGTGTTTCGGGGCATACTCGTCTGTTGTGTCTTGAGGCCGGATCTGGATAGGTAAGTCCGTGGCTTAATGGTCGGAACATCTGACTTGTAATCAGCAGAGCCGGAGTTCAATTCTCAGGTGCCCCCAAATCTGGCTGACGATGGCTGATAAGGCAGAAATGACCATTTCAGTGTATCTTGTTTTTCATGTATTTTTCAGCAGATTTTGAATATTTCATATTCTAAGTGTGGAACGGCTGACATGCCTTCTGGACAGGCTTTAGAACCCTTCAGTAGTAGACCACTTCTACCAAGCTGGACATTTCGAAATGTTTCTGCATGGCATCTTCTTTACCAAAGCATTGAACTCCTGGACGACATACTCTCCTACGGACGTTTTGTAACCGCCTTCTAGGACATATAACTGATCAAAAGAAGAGGGGTCGTTCGGTGGGAGGGGTTTATTTGACATCCGACGTTTCGGGTAGTTTATTCGTCTACTCATCTTCAGGGACTGGGAAGTCCTGTGCACAGCACTCCTTATTATGGCGCCCTTTGTCCAATGCGTGATCCGTCAATGCCGCCTGTGTGGCTGTATCCAACCCGCATGTCACCGTGAATATGGGTAGACGAATAAACTACCCGAAACGTCGGATCTCACCTGGGAATCGCATTTTCACTACTATTGACATATAACTGACCTCACGCAAACACTGGATGTCCATCTGCAGCAACACACACCCTGACTTAGTTCTGATTTCTTTGCACATGAGATCACACCTGGTGGGGGAGAAACCTTTTGAAATTTGAGATGTCTTGGCGCCTTACTTCTGTGGGAATCATACCCCCTGTTTGCCCCCACTCCAACTCTGGATGACGAGTCTTTTCTGCCTACTGGCACGTTTTAGCCATTCTAGGTGGTGCTTTACACCTTTTTGGCGTCGACTGTAGACCAGGGGTTTTTCTACTTCAGCTCACGTGTCATACGACCGTTTTTCTGTCGTAATTGCACATTGACCAACTACTTTGCCCGCATATAAATTGTTTCATTTTCTGCATCTACGTTTTGCTTGCCGTTGCGCCTGCTAGAAATGAGCCCTCTTGTCTTTTGTAGTTGAGGCTGCTCTACGAGTGTGTCCCCATGGCCTTCCTCATGGAGCAGGCTGGTGGCATGGCCTCTAATGGCAAGATCCCTATCCTCGACATCCAGCCTCGTCAGATACACGAGCGCGCACCCATCTACTTGGGCAGCCCTGAGGACGTGCAAGAGGTCCTCTCATTCATCAATCAATAAACTCCACCGTCACCACCGCCTCCTCCCCCGTACTCTGTAGATCTCATCCGATGTATCAGCCACCTTCTGTTGCATCGTGCGAATCAGTTATTGTACTAATCCTGCTATTGTAATTCTATAGGGCAGTATGCCACCCGTCTTGACACAGGGGAGCATCCTGCGTAAATGTAACTTCTGTAATTCTGAGTGTTCTTCGTCTTCTCGCTCTAGTGCACTGGAAGCCGGCGTTCACCGGACTGAATTCCTACGTTCCCCGTTGGCAATCACTGCATTATTGCCTCATTAGACTGAATCCACGACCCTGCTCCTGGTTGTCGGAGCTGATAGGGCGCTCATGGCGAAACCGTTCTGGGCATTCTTTGCATACAAAGGGGGGCGCTCACCGATCGTTCTTACGGACTCGTTCCGTTGTGCCTTACGAGCTCTCTCTCTCTCGAGCCCAACCAGCAGTCGCACAGCGGCGCACGATATAGGCAGAATGGCATTACCGACAAATACAAGGGAGACTGGAATGGCCATTTCTGGCCGTCGTCAATCAGTCATACCCAACTCCGAAGTGCGGAACATCTGAGGCTCGAACTCGTGACCTGTTAGAAGTCCAACGCCTCTAACCACTGGGCCACGAGCCCGTTGCTCTGTCGGTTTTCGATCGGGAATATAAAATGGTAGGGGGCGCTCAGCAATCGTTCTTACGGAATTCACTCGTTCCGTTGTGTCCGTCACCTTGAACGCTCCCTGTTCGTACTCGCAACTAGCTCTTTAGTGAATGGACCGTGCCCCGATCCTTTATATGCACTGGTCGTTGAGTCTGGGTCAGTCATCACCTGGACGGACGATGTTTTTCGTTGGTTAAATGCGACAGCATTGCATTCTTTTATATGACCATCAGAGTCATTACGGCCAGTGACAGGATTTAACTTCATCTTGACACACATACGGCTTGCCTCACTGAATGCCCTCGGACTGGGTTTCCTTTCCTCAAGAAGTAAAGTCGGTAGGCTAACTCATGAAATGTCAACCGAAATTCCAAAATGCGTTTTTGTTTCGGAAAGATTAATTAAGTAGCGTTGTAGTCAGCCTGCAACATAATTCTATAATATTTCAGTTACCTCAGAATGCCGGCTTCGGAATTAACTTCCTTCCGGCTGCATGCAAAGACTACTGTGTAAAAAATGACCACTTAGGTAGCATGCATTTTTCATTGATTTTCGATACCTCTAAAAGTCTTATTATATTTCATGGAAAACATGCGTAAAGATATTCATTATTTCGCTCATTCGGTAGAAAATTACACCCTTTTTCACTATTATACCCGGAGGAAGGGTATTATTCGGTTTTTAAAAACATTTCCAATTCCCGATTAATTTTGAACCCGCTCTGCCGTTACGATAGCATTCCGGGTCTCCAAACCACAAGCTATGTATTTTCCACATGCGGAAAACCATACATTTCTCTACGGCCTTAGGAGGAGACCATGTCGGGTTCATGAGATTAAGCAGTTGATTTGATCCATATTGTTAACTTTACAAGCCACATTGGTAAATGCAGAGACATGGCGTTTTATGAACGGTTACTTCACGGTATTAAAAATCTCGTAGCTAGAAACTTTTTAAAAACCGAATTATGTCCCTCCATCCAGTATAAAATTGGAAGACGATGTAATTTTCTACCGATTGAGCGAAAGAATGAATATTTGTGTGCATGTTTTCCACGAACTATAATTGGACTTTTAGGGGCATCGAAAGCCAAAGAGAAAAATGCATGCTACTTAAGTAGCCATTTTTTGCGGAGTATAGTTTTTGTATGCAGCTGGAAGGAAGTTCGTTCGAAAGCCGGCATCCTGAAGTAACTGAATTATTGTAGAATTATACTGCAGACTGCTTAATTTTACAACCCTACTTAATTAATCTTTTCGAGACAAATACGCATTTCGGAATTTCAGTTGACATTTCCTGAGTTAACCCACCTACTGTGTGCCTGTGGAGGGCTAACTATTCCCGCCTACAACGGGCCACGCGGGCGTTGCGCTGGACTAACACGGGGGGCCAGGCGCGCGTCATTCGGGTCGCGCACCCGTGACATGCCACACGGAGTGCTGTGGTTCGCCTAGGCGCGGGCCCGCACCGCGCCAACCACCTGCCCTCAGATGTCTGACCGGCTCGGACAGTAGACTGGTGCCTGCAGGCGGTAACAGAGAGCGAGGCTGACCTTGGAGACTGCGTCCCAACGGAACTCGGCGCATGCTACTCACTACAAACTACTTGACGCGTTTAAACGGGGTGCGCCAAAGGCCGCAGCTCGGAAGGCTGCCTTTCCATTTTAGAAGTCTTCTACCATCTGCAGAGTGTTCAGGCGTTCTTTGCTTGCCAGTCAGGTATTGGCGGTCTTCATTCGTTCGCGCTCTGATTGCACTAGTGGTCAGAGTAATGGTATTTTTTGCATTTTTTGTGAAACAAGTGGGCACCAAATGCGTGTTAAAATACATAAAACAACTGGTGGGTTCGGACGGTTTGCCGGCAGGGTGGTACCTGCATGCACCTTCACTGCTTGATCTGCCTCCTTCGCGATCGCCTCCGCTGCCTCAACAGTTCCTCGATTCCCTCGCGGATCTCCTCCAGTTGGCAACGCATAACCTTCTCTTGGTCGTCCAGCGCGATGACTTTGAGGGCCGTCGGCTCTTCCATCCTGGTGGCCGGCTGGACGCTCTGATTGGCTACGGAAGTCGGAGCCAATCGCTTGTTGCCGCGATTGGCGCCAAAACACTGTTGCCGCCTGAGTAGCGACTTCCAGAACTGAACACACACTTCAAACTCGTGCATGTCCAGCCTGCCTACTTTAGGTTTCTGACCCGTTGTATCCACTCCCTTTGGAGATAAACAGAAGTCATTTAGAGAACTCGGAAATTGTGAGGTACTGCTCACAAAGACAAACAGGGCAAGTAAGGTCGTTTCTGGGCTCCTTGACTTTGCCAGCCAATCAAGCCGAGGCAGCCTGAGATTTTATTGGTGGGCATTGATTTGGGATTCTCGCCGACCCATATGAAACGCAAGGGAGCAACTCCGATGTCTTGGGAGTACTGGCTCTTCTAAGCGTAGAGATCAGCCGAAACTATAAGCTAACGCTCAATCCGGTGACCCAAAAACATGCGTGCACGCTTGTCTCGATTGGAGCACGTGATTTAAAGGCGCCATCCTGTGCTAGCAGCACCTAGGTGCGTGGCGGTCAGTTGACACTCAAATGCCCTCAATGTACAACAGTACATTAGGTTGTTTAGACTTGTGACGACAAAATGCTGGGATGTGTGTGCATTCTAAACCACTGCGCCGACAAAATCCGGGGGCTGGGTGAATAATTAGTTGGGGTTGGAGGCGTAACATTTTCGCACTAGTATCAACAGTTTGAAATTGTTCGGATAAGGTTTTAGAAAACGTCACCTGACTGTTGATTGGCGCTAGCTCATTTGCGAATCTTCATCTAGCCAGAATTTTAAGAAAAGACAGAAAAAGCAAGGTCATTCGTATAAAAAATACCTTGTATTCATCTACCCTGTTATATCATACCCACCAACAGGAGAAACCGCCTGTTTTGAGTCACTGCCCACACCTTGAAGACAGGCTCTGAGCTCCATGGTGGGACGAAAGCCGCTCATGACTGCCGCTGTAGCGAGCAACGACGTTCGTTGTGTGCTTTTTGAATTATGTACAACAACGGTGACTTGAGCTCGAGTTAGTCTATGATGAGATCGACTTGCGCTGCATCTCCCACATTCTCTCGCCCATCACCCACCTTACTCCGATGGCAAAACCATGTAAAGACAACCGGAGATGGACTCGGACGAAGCCTGCCACCACTACACGTATCAGACTTGGCTGTGGGTAGTTCATATCTCACAACAGCGAGAATGCCATGAAGGCAGCAGTAAGCAGAAGCCATTGCAGCCTGAACCATCTTGGTGATCTCATGTGAACTGGCTGTCGGTCACTGGAGCAACCAGCATCCCCAAGTTTTGCCGGAAACTATATGTCTTGAACTTTGACCTTGGACAAGGGGCCGACTTACCTGCAGGTCCGGCTCCAGGTGATAGGGTTCTGCTTCCAGAAGACCCTCCGACTTCAAATAATTTAGTCTCTGCCGGTAAAAAGAAGAATATGAGATGAGCGAATCAACAGACAAGGACATAAAAGTCGACACAAGGCGTACTACCAGATTAAGCTTACCTAGTGGGCATGATTACGACTCAGTTAATGGGGGCTAAATCTTTGGAAAAATGAGGCTGTTGGAAAATTAGAACCCATAACAGTATTAACATTAATAATGCTAAATTAGTATGAGCTGATGTGCCAACATTGCTCTTACTGACGGTTTTTGTCACATTAAATGCCCGAACTACTATTTTGCTTACGCCTAACAGTCTTAACGCAAATTCTGGCCGGGCTGCCGGCGTTAACACTGAATTGGATTGCGATCGAGGCTACGCATTTAGTTGGACTGTTTCTGTTAGTTGCTATGTTGTAACCCTTACTTCCTTTGGCACTAACCAGGCTTCTGTAGTTAGTTGTTATTCCACTACTGGCGGGGTAGTGCTGCATGTGGCAGTGCACAAAGTACGACATCTTTGCATCATTCACAGACGGTCATGCGTTATCTTTCAGTGCTCATACCAGTGTAAATATCTTCATCATTTAACACTAAAGTATCGAAATGGTAGACACGTTTTCTGTGAATAACCAATTCGAATGCTTTCATCTTTACTGTTAATCCATTATAGCAACTATTGTTTAACCAAAAAACTTTTAGCCTCGAAGCAAAGCTTGAGTGACTCTTCCAGGCACATCCGCTTTTGTTTGAGAAATAAGAGATGCAAGACACCTTCAAGAGTCATCGCGATGTTGAACTCTTCCCGCCGGAGCATATTTACACGACAAGGGAAATGGTAGCTGCCAGGCCGCGTGTACAGAAGTTTAGTGTGCCGCACCTCCATCTTCCTTCTCGAGTCCGTTCTCAGGGAGGAACAAGCCGACCGATGGGTTAGGCGCAGGAGCCAGCCACTCAGATTTGTCTGGTGTCCATTGCTTGCATCGTCCCCCATCCCCTTGCCGAACATCAATCATGTTGCTGGTTTGCGTCATTCATGACGTCTGTCTGGGCCTGGTTACACTAGGAGGGGTATTTTAGAGCGCGTCCGATTTAGCATTAGTAAGATATTTGCTGATTTTTTATGTGTTCCTTTCCCTCTCACTTTCACTACTGGGCCATCCGAGTCTGTCCGTCAACTGGATGTGAGATTGGACACACTGGCTGGCGTGGCTTCCGCATCCGTCGAAGGCGTGTCGCACGCGAAAGTTCGACCGTCGTTTTCGACTATGTCCATCGTGTGCTCGACAGTAGGGTGAGAACAGGGGCGGTGACTTGCGCGGGAATTAGTTTATAGTGATAGATGGTTTGCGCAGCATCTACCACACTCTGTCCACCTCCTCCAGCTAGACCCGGTGTCAAGACAGATTCAGGAAAACCGGAAACGGAGGAGGGCGAAAGGCCCCACCTGGCGTACCAATATACCTTCTAGTTCACAACACGACAGTTACACCTTCGTTGCCGACACACCAAGATGAAGCAGAGACGGTGACTTGCGCGTGAATTGGTTTATGGTGATAGTAGATTTGCGCAACATCTACCGCAATCTCTCCTCCGCCCCTACCTGGACCCGGTGTCAAGACAGAGTCAAGCAGACAGGAGGCAGAGGAGGGCACAGGCGGATGGCGCGGTTGAACCCGCACCTTGGCGTTCCAATTCACACCCCGTGGTCCACGAGGTACACTTGACCAGGATTTCTTTCACCAACAAAAACAACAATACTCTAATAGGGGTCAGAAGGACGAGGATGATGACTGGGCAGCCATGCCCACTACCTGTTTGTCCGGCGGGAGCGCAAGCGCATCTACCGGCGGGGAACCAGGTGTCAGGGAACTGTCGTAGATGGTAATGTTCTCACGAACTAACGAGTTATATCTCATGAGCCCCTTGCCTTAAAAGCAGCACGTAAAACTGAGCAGTGAATAATATAGAGATTATGAACGTTAAGAAACTGGCAATAGAACATGACAGCGGAGCACGCTAGCCAGGCGGGTTGTACAGGTAGGTTGTTTTTTCGTCACATTCAAAGAAGCAGTCCAGTCAAAGAAAATGGGACTAAATTGTCAAAGGTAAGTTAGTCCGGTACCTCACCATAGAACTGCCAGCGCATACCAGGCTGCGAGGGCGACGGTTTGCTGATACTGGCCTAGCACACGCTTTCAGGCCTTTTGACCCACAAAACACACTGACTAGGCTTTTAACAAAAAGAGAAGGAAGCGACCCGGATCCCACGAACTGTGAGTGCCATTAAGAAGGAGGAATTGCAGCCTGACTCTCAGAACACCAGTCGGTCGCTCTACACAAACACACAACATTGCGCTGGCTGCGAGGTCCTAGTTATCCTACCGGTTTGCAGTCATTCAAGCCACAGCTTTTCGAGCTCCGTGATAACTTCAGGCGCGCTGCTGAGTCGCCGGCCTAGCTCTTTATTTTCATTTTCAGGTCCCAGCCACTGTCCGAGCCGGTCAGTTGTCCGATGTGGGGAATGGGCCAAGTGGCTTACATAACTAGTGACCTCATCTTTGTGTGTCACACACACACACACACACGACCTGACCCCCAAAACATAAGCACGGGGCTGGCAACACTGACCTCGCGTGCGAGAGGGTCAGGGGTCACGGTAGGAAGGAGCCATTGCAGCCTGACTCTCATAGCGGGCTGACTGCGAGGTCTGAATTATCCCTTCAGCCGAAATCCTTCCAACCCGCGACGGTTAGCGCACCATGATAGGCTCAGGCTCGAACCACACATGCAGCAGAGGGGTCACATGAAGGAGGAGTCGAGGGACACACTCCACCAACATGAGAGGTGCCAATTACGTGCTTGCGTTTTGTGATGTTGGGTCTGGTCTTGCGTGCTGTAGGTACTGGTGAGGAGAGATGTGATGGTATTGTATAGGCGGCGATGTACTGCTGCAGGTTTTCACGGATGCGCATGTGGCCTACTAGGCCTGTGCGGTGAGCAAATGTGCGTAGACTGTGCGTGCAGCATCTCAACGACACACACAACCCGATAAACGCATGACATGATCCAATTTAGCTGCTCGCTACCATTCTATGCCATCATCAGGAGCTCGCATGTTTTCCGCTACTTGATCCATGTCTACATATGTTCGAGCACGACTGTGCGCACGCCGAGTCATCGGCTTCCCAAAGGAAACAGGGCTCCAGTGGGTGCCAGAGGTCACGAACAGGCGATGACCTGCATGGACGGATTCTTGACCCCTGTTACTCATTTAGGCTTAAGTGAAGAAGAGGAGTCGAGCACCGGAACACTGTGTTTATTGTCCTGAGCTTTCAGACTCGTACAGGAGTCCAGAGTTAGAGGTAGCAGCAGCAGCAGCGGCAGCAGAACAGGCGACAGTTATAAGGCGTGCAGGCCAATCATCGACCGACGGCACAAGACTGGAGGTGACTACACAGGGCTCTGTACGCCGACGCCAGATCGATAAATCGATTGACCGAGTTCTCATCCGAGGCTTAATTGCCTCGGAAAGTCAATGAACCCATTTGTGCCCATTTATGCTTACACAAATACTCGATTTCCAGCAACAGGCAATGACGGATGACGAGGCACTTATGAATTTGCAATCTACGAAATGTTTGTGACCGAGTGGTGGACCCCGTGTGTGGACCATCTGCGCCATATGAGAGCACATGCGCATGTTTATGGTTCCAGCTGGTGATCGTGGTAAATGCTTATCAAATGAAGGCAGGATAAGCCGCGAAACGGGAACCATGACTTTGTTGCCCTGACGTTTCAGAAACGAACAAACTTTCACCGTCATAGGTAAGTTACCTACGCCGCTTCACAGTATGCGAGATTTTTGTTAGTGCTGATGTGCCACTTTCATTGGGTGCTCAATAAGAAAAGAAACTCCAAAACATGTAGTTTCTTGTGCGCGGCATGGAAATGAATGATCTCAGGCCACAGGGAGAGAGTAATGTTGCAATGACAAGAGGGCTTGGGCCTCCATCGCGACCTCCGTGGCCACGTACCTACGCGGGCCTGTAACTATTGTGAGTGCGTGCGGGCATTCTAACCTCTCCATCTTTTAGGGTGAAAGACAAAAGTGGCTTCCATTTGAGCACAAAGAAGAGTTTTGCCTCCTCCACGAAAAAACTGCCCTAGTAAATGACACTCCAAACGGTAGAGTCAGTGAAAATCGTACATAGAGCGAACACTGTACCTTCGAATTGACAGTCCGACCGTCGAGTTCGGCCATGTCTGTCGTCTACTTCACATCAGGTTGAGAGCGGGCACGGTGACTTTGTAGGGATAGCGGACTGAAGCAGCATCTACCAAACCCTCTCCTTCCCCACCTGAGTCCGATGTCATGACAGAGTCAGGAAGGCCGGAGCTTTAGTCCGTCAGTCGGCCACTCCATACAGACAGACAGTGGGCTGACCTCGAGGTCCAATTCATTCCGTCAGTTGGCGACCTTAGAAGCCATGCCGCTTAGTGCCCCATGCTAGGCTCTGGTTCGGATCACACATGCAACAGAGGAGCCACATTGAGGAGGTGTGAAGCAACACACTTCCTACTTACGCGAAAGGCGTCAATTACGTGCTCGCGTTGTGTGATGTGTGGTTTTATGTTGTAGGTGATTGTGAGGCAAAATGTGGTGATACGGTATAGGTGGTGATGTTCCACCCAGGGATTTTATTGATGCTCAGGTGACCCAATAGGCCCATTCAGTGAGTGAATGCGCGTAAACAAAGCTGGCAGTATGTCAACAACGCACACGATCCGTGAGCCAGTGTAACTCACGACTTTTCAATGCCATTATCAGGATCTCGCATATTTTCCACTATTCGACGTATGTTTAGATATATTTGAGCACCAATGGACGTAAGCTGATCCACTGGCTCCCCGAAGTGAGCAACCGTCTCTGCTGATGGGTTCGAATGAGAAGCCGAAACGTCAGGCAAATAAACCTTTTGTTCCAGTGATCGCATCTTCTTCCTCCTCCAAACAAGCTTTGGTTGAGTGCCAGAGATCACGAACAGACGACCACTTACGAGGGCGAACTCATGACCCCTGTCGCCTATTCAAGGTATGTTTGCTTCGATAAGCTACGGGCAAAACCAAATGCTGAAGCACTGAGGAAGTTCGGTTCAATCAAGTGCTTATCACTGAGTGGTAGACCACATCTGTGGACCATTTGTGCCATGCGGGAGCGCATGAGAGAGCTTCCGGTGCCTGCTGATGATAGTGAAGATTATTGAACGAATGAAGGTAGGATGAGCCTTTAAACGGAAACCCGGATTTTATCATCCTGACTTTTCGAAAACAAACAAACCTTTATCGACTGTGCTTCAGAATATTTGAGGACCTTCTTGGTGCTGGCGTGCCGCTGACTTCCAGACCATCTGTGTGCACCGCGCCGCGGGGAGGGTGGGGTTAGTCATGGTAGGATCGATTCTTCCTTTTTCCTTTGTCGGTGGGGGCGGCGTCGGGGTAATCCCGGCCATTCGTTTTGTCCGTCCTCCGTGTATCTCGCCGTCATGTCCCGTTCACACCTTCCCGCAAATGCGTGAACGATGGTTGCCACCTCAGTGTTGATGTCGGGCTAGCAGTCCTTGTCCTTGCTCCTTCGGCGTGCTCCCGTTCGTCTGCGCTCAAATTCAGTAGGTGGTCTCGTGAGTTCGCGTTTGTCACCGGTTGTTCCCTGTTTTCGTTTGTATCTGATACCGATTCGCGTTCATCCGTGTTCTGCTTCGGTCTGGGTTCGACTGTCGCCGTGTCTGGCCCGACGTCCCGCCCGCAGTGCCGCTTTTTGAACTACGGCCGTAGAGCTTGAAAGGCTGCTGACAGAGTTACATAACGATTGATGAGGGCAGTTGTGGTATGCCAGGCTACGAGCGTCTCCCTGACCGTCTGTTCACTTCCTTGGCCCAAGATTTCGGCTCCCTGGAGAGGGAAGGTATGACCAGAAGCTGCGCAATGTTTCGCCACCAGTGTGAGCCGATTCATGTTTCGCACCGCGCTTGCGTGTCGCCCATGTGGGCCTACAATCTCTTACCGGTCTCTCCGATGTAGCTGGTTTCACAGGAACTGCACAGGATCATAAAGAGGCCTTAAAGGTATCGGAGTTGTGTCCTTTTCTCGGCCGGCTCACTGCACTGTGCTTCTACCCCATCCGCAGTATTCCATATCATTGCGTTTGTGACAACGGGTGCGTACTGCGGTAACTTAAAATTTTGCGTCTGTTGGTGGCCCTCCTATACACCGTTGTTTTTATGCGCCTGTTGGGTTTTCGATGGACAATAACGTCCAGGAACGACAGTTAGTTGCTGCTTTCTGCCTCCATTGTGAATTTGATGTCCGATAAAATGGAATTTAGGACATCATAAAATTCTTCGGCCATTCCTCGTTTAATGAAGACGAGGGCATCACTGACGTATAGGGTTCAGAACCCTGGTTTGTGGGATGCGAAAACAAGGATCTGTAGTTTTTTGGAGAATAACCGCAGCGATGAAGCCCGAGAGCGGTGGTTCTATTGGCGCATGATCCCCTCGAAGAGGAAGTACCACTTCAGACAGGATTTTAGGAGTTGGACAAGATGTTTTCGACTCACCGACCCGCCCATCTCGTCGTACAGCCCCTCGAGCAATTTGCTCACCGTTTCGACTCCCGGTCCTACAGGAGTAAAGTGAAGAGTGAGGTGACATCACATGACACCAGGTGTTTGTGTTTTGCCCATAAAAAGGGCCACGCCGTAAGTTTGCTGGACCAAACACAAGGGTTAAGTCGGCGTCCGCCCGGGGTTGCCGGGAATGCGCGTCCACAAACAATGTTAACGTCTGGATGTAGTGGCGGGCCCAGTTGCAGGCTCGCGTCGCCCCAATTTGGATCCGAGCTGCTCCCCATATTTATTTAAACTTAAAATCCTGCTCCGTGTACGTTGTAGGCCAGGGGATGTGGTGGTACACCTAGGTGCAGGTTGAAGCCGCACCAGCCACCTGCGACCTCTCTCGCCGCTGTCTTCTTGACTTTGTCATGAAGCCGGGATGAAAAGGTGCGGTGGATGCTTCGCAAGTCTCCTATCACTATAAACTAATTCACGCGCAGGTCATCGTCCCTGCTCCCACCCTGCTATTGTGAACTTCGTCAAAAACGACGGCCGAACTGTCGTGTGAATGCCTTCAGATTCGTGATCATGAACTCTTACGGCGTTCATCGTTTCCTGAAGAAGACGAAGAAGAAGAGGAGGCGAGTTTAGGGACCGAATTGTATTCTCACTGGCGTTTTACAAAACTTCCTCATTTCAATCATCATGATAGTGCGGTGGCTCTCCCTGCTCGCCTTGTTTTCTAAATCTTGTCGCCTCCCATGTATTAACAATAACCGTGCTCGACGCACAGTCTTTGATCCACTGATGAGCCGAATCCCTCGCAACTGCGTCAGGCAGCAGCACGCACGCGAAACACGCGTGTTTGGACTTTTAGCTAGTACCTGTGCTGTTAGTACGGTAAATAATTACACAATTATATACTACTGGCTGCCTGTTGGCAGTTTATGAATATTGCGCGATTATTCCGCAGTAGCTGATGGATTTCAGTTCAAATATTCATATCGGATTTCGGACCGTGCCTGAAAAGGTCGGTTTCGAAGGATTTTCTCCAAGTTCGCGTATTAATTTCCTCGGAAGTTAAACAGGGCAAGTCTTTGACCTACCCATTTGCTGTTGACCAGCTGAAACTTCTGAGATTAACCGCTGAAGGTCAGTCGATCATCTGTACTTTGACGGGAGAGATTCAAGAGACGTAGTGAATATAAAACAGACTACGCAACTCGAACTGCCTTTAAAACAAGGCCTCATCAGAGATCAAGTACCAATTACATTGATCTCTGAATTTCCTTTTTTCGCTGCAGATGAACTGACCAGAACTACGTTACGAAAGCTTCCTTCTAAAAATCATTATCTAGAGTCAAAAGAGAACTATGTGATTCTCACAGCGCCTTCAAGGTTGTCTTTTGACCCGGGTTACACTTGAAAATGCATTTCTTGCAAACTGCTAAGTTTAAAATGCAAAACTGTTCGAAAGATTAAAGGTAGGCCGACGTAGTTCTCGCGTACTTTTGCCCATACGGCCAACACTCGCTACTCCTCTGGCACGTTTTTTTTATCACCGGCCGCATAAACGTACTTTTCGAGACTAAACCCCTCCCACTTTCATATGTGGCTTTATCGTACGGTGCAGCTGGAAGTAGACTAAACAAATTTTAAGTCATTAGGCCGGATTACGATTCCGTCCAGTCAGTTCACATGAAAAGATCCTTTCAGTCGGTGTTACATGCTTTAAACACGTACTCGTCTTTCTGATCCGTTGTGGTGTTGCTTAGGTCGGTTAAAATTCCAATCAAGTGTTTGGTGTGTGTGTGTGTGTGTGTGTGTGTGTGTGTGTGTGTGTGTGTGTGTGTGTGTGTGTGTGAGTGGTACCCTCAAAATGGGCCACATGTTAGATGCGCTGGACCAACACGGGGGCCACATCAGACTCTGGCAGGCGTTATCTGTGCGCAATAACAAATGCCAACATTTGCGGGATGCGCTGGCGGACCCTGTTGTCGGCATTCGTCGCACAACTGGACCACTGCCACCACCCCATTTTTCTGTGGTCAAAATCCTGGTCATTTGTGTGTGGACCGGGGGGTGCGGAGTGGAGCGCCAAGGCGAGGATCCGTCCGAGCCATCCACCTGCGGCCTCCCCCGTCTCCGGTCTTCTTGACTTGGGCTTGACACCGAGCTCAGTCTGGGGAGGGGGAGAGAGTGTAGGTAGATGCTACGCAAGTCTACTGGCAATATAAATCCCTGCGTAAGTCACCGTCCCTGATCCACAATGCAGTCTGTGGGGCATACGGTGGACAGCATCGAAATCGATGGTCGAACTGTCATGCGTGAGTGACTGAGTGAGTGGGGGGAGGTAGGGGTGTCCAGCGGTGGGTTCACGTGATGCTCGTAGTGGTCGCTCACTTGCTTGCAGGTGCAGGCTAAACCTAGCGTCCATTTGCTGGCATCCGACTCCCACCTGTGGCTTCCCGAAGCTGATCTCTGTCCAGCGGCCACACCCCGGTAACCGCCTTGATCGGCGGGCTAAACCACGCGAGGGAGGGTACTCCATGTGCACGCTGAGCCCGTGCACATGGTAGCGGGGACCACGTTGGGCGGTTGGTCGGTTGGAACTTCGCAAGGTGAACATCCCCGCACTCACCGAGACGCGGATCTCCGAACAAGGCCAACTGGAGGAGGTGGGTGTCGGCTACACCTTCTTCTGGATCAGTCGCCCTAGGGCAGACAGACGAGACGCAAGTGTCGCCTTCGCCATTCGGAAGGACATCGTGGGACGACTGCCTTGTCTGCTTCAGGACATCAACGATAGTCTGATGAGTCTTCGCCTGCCTCTTCGAGGAGGCAAATTCGCGACAATCATCAGTGTCTACGCTCCGCCGATGACCAGCCCCGACGCCGCAAGAGGCAAATTCTACGAGAATCTGCGCGCCCTCTTGGCGGCTGTGTCGAAGGCAGACAAGCTGATTGTCTTTGTTGACTTGAACACTCGCGTCGGCACAGACCATGCAGCCTGGAGAGGACTGCTCGGTCCCCATGGTCTCCGCGGCTCCAACGACAATGTTCTGCTTCTTCTCCGCACCTGCGCAGAACACCGACTTGTTCTGACGAACACCTTCTTCTGTATGCTGGAGCGAGAGAAGCCACCTGCATGCACCATCGGCCGCGTCAGTGGTACGTGCTGGACTATGTCCTCGTCTGGAGGCGAGACGAGCGCGACGTGCTGGTGACAAAGACGATCCCGGGTGCTGAGGGGTGGATCGACCATCGCCTCGTCATCTTGAAGATGCGTATTCGCCTACAGTCTCGCAGAAGACCACAAGGTAAGCGACCCCCAGGTAAGCTGAATATTGACTTGTTGTCTTTGCCCGCTCACCATCTCCATTTCAGCAACGAGCTAGTTTAACGACTAGACAATCTTCCTATCGCTGCTGCTGCCGCCGCCGCTGCTGTCGAGAACGCCTCCGTGGAGAACCGATGGTATCAACTGCGCGACACGGTCTAGTCGACGGCGCCGGCCCTCCTCGGTTGCGCACGCCGCTAACACCGGAACTGGTTTGACGACAACGACGCCGCCATCAGCAACCTGCTCGCCCAGAAGAACCGCCTAAAAAAGCCTACGTCGATCGCCCCACGGACGACAACGGAGCTGCTTTCTACCGTTGTCATCTCCTCGTTCAACAGCGACTGCTCGAGGTGAAGGACGCCTGGACGGCTCGCAGGGCCGAGGAGATCCAAGGGTACGCGAAATGCAACAAATGGAAGAACTTATTCTCCGCGATCAAAGCGGCTTGCGACCCGCCGACCAAAGGCACTACTCCTCTCATCAACGCCGACGACAGTACCCTCTTCACTCAGAAGGCACAAATTCTACAGCGATGGGCTGAGCATTTCCGAGACGTCCTCAACCTCTATTCCACTATCTACGACGCTGCCATCGTTTGTTTGCCGCAAGTGGAGAGCAACGTGGATCTCGAATCCCGTCCTCCCTCCAGGAAACCATTAAGGCCCTGCGGCAGCTCTCCAACGGGAAAGCACCCGGATCTGACGCGATCCTCGCTGAGATCTACAGGCGCGGTGGCGTCAAGGAGAAGTCCCACAGAGTTTTAAAGACGTCACAATCATGCATCTATACGAGCGGAAAGGAAACCGCCAGATCTGCGACAATCACCTAGGCATGTCCTTGATGAACATCGCCGCGAAGATCTTCGCTGGCATTCTCCTCAACCGCCTGAATAGACACCTAAAACAGAGTCTTCAGCTGGAAAGCCAGTGCGGCTTCCGCCGTCATCGTGGGACCACGGATAAGATTTTCGCTGCCCGTCAACCTCAGGAGAAGTGTCAGGAGATTCGGACCCATGTGTAAACTATTCCCGCGGATCTGACAAAAGCCCTTGACACGGTGAATCGTGAAGGATTATGGAAGATCATCAGAAATTTGACTGTACCCAGCGACTCATTCAGACGGTGTGTCAGCTGCACGACGGCATGATGGCGCGAGTTACGGACAACGGAGCTGTCTCAGAGGCATTCGCAGTGACCGATGAAGGGAAGCTGGGATGCGTCCTGGCGTCCACCCTCTTCAGTCTTATGTTCTATGCCATACTGATGGACGCCTAGCGTGACGAATGTCCAGGGATCCGCATCGCCTACAGGACGGATGGCCACCTTCTTAATCAACGGCGGATGCACTTCCAATCGCGCGTATCCACAACCAATGTTCACGAACTTCTCTTCGCCGACGACTGCGCCCTCAACAGCACCTCGGAAGAGGACATGCAAGGGAGCATGAAGCTCCTCTCCGCCACCCGCGAGAACTTCGGTCTGGTCATCAAAACGGAGAAGACGGTGGTCATGCGTCGACCGCTACCTAAATCAGCCCCTCCCCAAAATGCGCCACAGATCAGCCTGAACGGAACCCAGCTACAAGTGGTGGAGAACTTCCCGTACCTGGACAGTACACTCTCCCGCAGCACGAAAATCAACGGCGAAGTCGCCCGCAGTATTTGGAAAGCCAGTCAAGCCTTCGGCCGTCTTCAACGCACAGTTGGGAATCGTCATGGTCTCCAACTCATCAGGAAGCTAAAGATGTACAGGGCCGTCATCCTGCCGACACTGCTGTACGGAGCGGAGACTTGGATGGTGTACACGAAACAAGTACGCCGACTCAACCATTTCCACCTCAGCCGTCTTCGCCGAATAATAAAGCTGAGGTGGCAGGATCGAATCGCCGACACTGATGTGGTGGAACGGACGGGAATCCTCAGCATCTACACCATGCTGAGACAAATGCAACTGCGTTGGAGCAACCACCTCGTGCGCATGGACGACGAACGGCTACCCAAAATTCCCTTCTACGGGGACGTCGCCACGGGTTCTCGCCACCAGAGAGGCCAAATTCGCCGATACAAGGATATTCTGAAGTTCCCCCTTAAGCGTTTGCAAACTAAAACGACTAATTGGAAAGACATCGTCCGCAACCGACCGACCCGGAGGAGGACAGCGAAGACAGGCGCTGCGATCTACAAAGCCAACCACCTCGCCGCCGCCAAAGTCAAACGCGAAGCACGCAAATCTCAGCTGTGTCCACTCCGCAACGCCGACTCAGAACCGCTTCCAACGTGTCCTCGTTGTCAACGGAGATTTCGGTCACGAATGAGATTTGGTGGACACCTTCGAATAAACTGCATCACTCGTACCACACCAACCGTCGTGCCTCTGCCCGCCTCTTCCTCGTCCCCCACGCCGCCAACTAACTCTGACCGCTTTTCTGATCCACCATTCTCATCCTCATCCTCCTCCTCCGCCGCCTCCTGCTCCTCTTCCTCACACTCCTCCTCCGCTGTCCCAACGACGGCCGTTCTGGCGGCTGTCACGCACGCTAACATTACACACAATCCTGACACAACAACGAACACCACAACTAAAACCTCTGAAACCGAAGGCGACACCCAGGATTACACCTGCCCTCACTGCAACCGCACCTTCACCTCACACATCGGCCTGGTCGGTCACTTGCGAATCCATCGCACAGAGACCGGTGAACTGGCGCCTGGAACATCAACCTACACCCACCGGACCCGCCTCCGCTGTCCACACTGCCCCGCACATTCATGCATCGCATGGGCCTATTCTTCCACATGCGTATCCACTAGAGCGGAATTGACCGCAGTCCCGACACACCCACCACGCCCAAACCCACCCTCACTCCGTCGCCCTGTGCACCAACCACCATCACCACCACCATCTCAACAACTGACACCGATACCACCGACTTCCCATGCCCTCATTATCTACGCTCATTCGCCTCTCGAATCGGCCTGGTCGCTCACTTGCGAATTCATCTCACAGAGACTGACGAACCAGTGCCTGAAACACCCACCTACACCCGCCGCATCCACCTCCACTGTTCATACTGCCACCGCACATTCATGCGTCGCATGGGTCTGTTCGGCCACATGCGCACCCACGAATACCTGCGGTTGACAACGCCGGCTGCACCACACCACCACATCCTCCCTCACCGCCACCTCACCGCTCATCAACATCACCAACCACAAGCACCCAACTGCCACCTCCCACGCAAGTGAAAAGTTTGCGTCTCGACTTGACCTCCATGCGACTCCTGTTGTACAAGTGCCTCGGACCTGAGATTATCCCGATGTGTCCAGTGTCGTTGATAGGCAAGCTGCTGATTGACGCCCCAACTCAGTCCACGCTGTCCGTCCAGTTGTGTGTGTGCTGTGCGGTGAGGCGGACTGGTAGGCAGGGGGCCGCATCGGCACAGCTCCTTCTACTGCACTCTCATGCAAGTGAGAGATACGCCGCTCAACCCTCTTTGTGTGAAATCCTGGTGTTTGTGTTTGGGGAGCCAGATCGTGCATGTCGCGCGCGCAGACAAGGTCACTAGACCATGTCAACCACCGCGCCCATTCCCCGCTGAAGTCAGCTGATCGGCTCGGACAGGGGCTGAGGTGTGGGAAAGAGAAAGGGAGAATGAGGTCGACGGTACGTTAAAAGACGTGGCTTGGAAGGTTGCCAACTGATGGGGTGACTTGGACCTCGCAGTCGGCCCAGTGTTGTGTGTGTGTCGCAGTTGTGGAGAGGCCGGCTGGTGGTCTGATAGTCAGGCTGCAACGGCTTCTTCTTAATGTGGCTTTTATGGCACTCCCACTGCGTGGGATTCGAGCCGGGTGTTGGCGGCACGCCTAGGTGCGGCTTCGACCGTGCCAACCTCCAACCTCTGTTGTTGATGGTAAAAAACCTGGTTATTTGTTGTGTGGACCAGAGCGTGTTCAGCGGAGTGCCAAACTGCGGGCTCGACCGTGCCATCCACCTGCGGTCTCCCTCATCTTCGCGCTTCTTAACCTTGTCTTGACACGGAGCTCAGGCGGAGGATGAGGAGGGAGTGTGGTATAACGAGCCTAAGTCTACCGGCACTTTAAACCGCGCAAGTCAGCGTCCCTGTCCCATCCTGCTGTGGAGCATACGGTGGGCATCGTCGGATGCGACGGTCGAACTGTCGTGTGTGTGTGTGTGTGGGGGGTGTAGGGGTGACCAGCGGTGGGTTCACGTGATGGTCGTAGTGGTCGCTCACTTGCTTGCAGGTGAGACTACGCCTAGCGTCCATTTGCTGGCACCTAACTCTCACCTGTGGCTCCACGTAGCTGGGCTCTGCTCAGCGGCCACACCCCGGGCAACCGTCTCGACCGGCGGGCTAAACCAGGTGAGGGTATCCGTGCATGCACCTGCACGCGCGGTACTGTGGTCTGCGCTGGCCGGATGGATCTTCGCGTCGACATCGTCGAGACGAGGCTCTGCCTGGACCATCGCAGGAGGCCACCAGGTAAGTTCCCCCTCAGGTAAGTGTGCTTGCTTTGTTTCTTCCTTTTGTTTGTTGAAGTTCCGCGTCGTACGCTGCGCTTGCTGCCTGCCCTTTATATGCTAGTCTGTCTGTCAATAGCTAAACGACACCCTCGATGCCTGCTGCGATTGTCTGTCCGTCAGTCTATGCCACTCTCTTCTAGCTAGGTGTTACGGTGCCTGACT